AAAAAAAAAAAAAATCCCGAATAATAATAATAATAATAATAATAAAATAACATACCCATATACATACATAAACATACATACGCGCAAACTGTAAATATATATACATATATACACATGTATGCAGCGAAAGTAAATAAAATACAAAAAGTCAATCAGAAATGCAACAGCAAAGGAAGAACAGAACAATTTAAAAGAGTGGTGAAATGGTCAAGCGTACCTCTCAGAACATTGCTAATTTTTCTCCAATAAAAGTACACTTCTTAATTTCCATGCCCGACAAGCGTACGATTTACAGAATTTATCAAATAAGAGGGCAATATTGTTATTAAACATGTGTTCAGGATAAATATTATCGAAAAAATCGAAGCTTGCTAAGACGTATTGTAGTTTTGTACATAGATCACTGGATGAAAAGTCTATCCAGACATTAACACAGTTAATAGAAATTAAGTCATTTTGCAACTTAATTAATTCTTCAGATCTGATACGTTCTAAGGGATTACACACAAAAAGAAAATGTTTAGTATCTTCCTCTCCATAACCACAGATCTCGCATTGGGTGTCAGTGTTGTCTATACATCATTTGTTAGTACGTTTACCAAGTGCTAATGTATTTGATCGTAGTTTAAATTTGAGACTAACTCCATGGAAATTTGTCATGTCTAAGAGGTAAGGTTCTAAACCAGGTTTTTCTTTTACATGCCAGTAGTCGCCAAGTGAAGATTTTCTCTCAACCTCCCCTTTCCAAAAGTGTACAACCCATGAAGTTGGGATATTAGTTAAAAATGCAAGGTATTATTTACACACAGATCCTATATACAAATTTACAGATGGTAGTACTGCTACATTCTCTTTCCTTGAAGATTGTTCCATGTTGGAATTATTAAGGTATTAGAAGATTAGCTTTAAGTATTTTTTTGGTGGAGTGGATGATTATGTATTGACAAGTATCATTGCAGAGCACACTGGGACAAAGGAAATCTTGCATTTTTTCAAAAGGGAATTTTAGTAAAGGTGGTTGATTTATTCATATAATCATCTACAAAATAGCCTAATATAAAAAAATAAACATATATTAACAGATTTTTTTTTTTTAATATTCAGATATTAACTTTAAAAAAAAACAATGACAACATTAATTGGGAGATTGAAAAACTACAATTTACTGTAAAACTAACCAAACTATACATTTATTATACTTACTAATCATCTGTCCCATATCCATTTGCACCAATGCCAAATGAAATACCCACAATAATAACTGGTGTGCCTACAATGAAAAAAAAAATATTCAACTATTATCCATATAGAAAGCAAAAAACAAGACCAACATTGTGATACTCAAGCCTAGCTGACCACAAATTGGTTAAATCTATTCTTAAATACTTTTTTTCATCTCCCACTACTTAAATAAAAGTCTCACTATTTCAAATATATATGCAACCAATTAGGAAAGCCAATTTTTCTTGGAGCATACCCCATCCAATAAGGTAGAAGCATCGTAGCTTGTTACTTTTGTTGAACACCCTGACAACCTTAAAGTACAAGTTGATGCCTTCCACTAACATCCAACAGAACGATGCGGTGTAAAAGAAATGCAAACTGATAGCGACAATCTGACACACAGTCTGAGAAAAAAACAACAAAAATGTGTTTGTTTAAGAGACATTATTTTTTGGCAAGTCAACGTGTGCTTGTTTGTGGGACAACATGTGTCTCTTTTAGAGACAGCATGTGTTTGAGAAACAACATTGTGTGTGTTTGCGAGTCAACATGTGTTTGTTTGCGAGACAACATGTGTTTGTTTACAAGACAACAAGTTTCTTTGAGAGACAACATGTGATTGTCAAGACAACATGCGTCTCTTTGTGGGACAACATGTCTCTCTGAGAGACAGCATGTGTTTGTTTGGGAGACAACATATGTTTGTTTGCAAGACACGTGTCTCTTTGACAGACAACATGTTTGTTTGCGGGACAACTTGTGTCTCCCGAGAGACAACGTGCTTGTTGGAGAAACAACATGTGTTTGTTTGAGGGACAACATTGTGTGTTTGAGAGATGTGTGTAACATACAGTATTTTTTGTTGCATTTACAGCTGTCAGGAATATAAGTTGAGCGAAGAACAAGGACACTGTCAAGTTCTTGTGTACAACAACTTGATCTTCAAGTAGATTTCTGAAATTAAATAAAAATTTATTTAAATGACAGCATCAATCAATCAAAAAGGATTTGTATAGCGGCAACATCCATGACAAAATGCAGTGTTTAGGGGCGCTATGACAATGGTATTACTCAAAGTACACATTAACTACTGAGGTTAATTAACAATACTATATATTATTGTAAGATAAAAAAAAAAAAATCAGCATCAGCACTATCTTATTATAGAGGCTTGCGAGTGGAGTTGTTCATAATTGTGAAAAAAAACCTGGAACTTTACAGATTGAACGTTTGTTGTCCACATCAAGACCTTGTTTTTTTTTGCATATTAAGCAGGGCACAAGACGTTTGTACGACTGTCGCAAGATGAATCAAACTCCGCTCCCTCTGGGTTCTACACGACGTCACATCTGCTGATTGCCAGTACTGTAGACCTCGAGACCTGTTGCACACGCACTTTAGCACATTGCGTTCTTCAAAGAATCATGGTATTACTCAAAGTACACATTAACTACTGAGGTTAATTAACAATACTATATATTATTGTAAGATAAAAAAAAAAAAATCAGCATCAGCACTATCTTATTATAGAGGCTTGCAAGTGGAGTTGTTCATAATTGTGAAAAAAAACCTGGAACTTTACAGATTGAACGTTTGTTGTCCAC